CTAACAGCCTTAGGCATGGCAATACCCACCTTGAGGGTGGGAGGGACATTATCACTTTGTCCCTGGCTGAAAAATGCCTTCCTAAACATAGTGATAAGTAAGACAGGCTAACTGTAATAGAATTTACAGCACTGTCTCCTTCAAGCTGTTTACCATAATCTGTAATTATTTTATCCACTTGTCTGCTTATTTATCTCATCTATAACTCTATCAGGGCAGAAGCCATGTTGGTCTTACTCAATATATTCCCCTTACTTAGCCTAGCGGCTGATACATAGTAGGCACCAAATGAATGTTTGCTAGATGAAGAATTGAATGGAAAATTTCCCCAGATCCATCCCACACACAACATCCAGAAATATTAGACTCTATAAATCCATTGGTGAGGAATTGTGCTCTCAGCTTGATACAGCTGTCCATAAGGAGATGTGATCGATATATAGGAAATAGTTTTATATATATATATATGCGTATACGCATATATATATATATGAAATATTTCTTGTACTCCAGCGTGGTTCAAGCAGGATCCTGTAAGCCCTACGCGAATCCTGATATTCTGCTCTTCTGAGGTTATTATGACTGACTTTAAATATGTGATGTAATGGAGGATTTTAACCATCACACACAACCCAAGGTCCAAGTAGACTGCACATACCCAACCAGAGGGATGTGAGCCGACTTTGAGCCAGGACCAGCCTCTCTGGTTACCAAATCCCAAAGGAAAGAGCTCTGTGTTCTGTCCTGCGCACTAGGGATTGCCCCTCTCCATTTTAGGACACCTCTAGGATCTGCCCAGCCTGCTTGGAAGGACAAGTTCTCATTCCCAAGCAAGGGGGCGTAAGGACCTGGCAGTTTATGGGAGGACTTTGAATGCTCTCAACAGAATCGGGTGAAAAAGAATCCGTCAAACATGAGCTCAAAATGGCAGGTCTAGGCATCTCAGTTCCCCCAGGATGCCATGTCAAACTCAAGTCTCAAGGGCAAATAGCACAAGGGCAAGGGGTCCACTGAGAACTCCTGATCCTCTCACCAGGCCATTCCATGATGGGCCATCTTCGTGTCATTGTCCCTGATCCCTCAGCTCATATAACCCAGCCCACAGAATGAGGGCCCTCTTCTGCTCAGGAAGCCAGCACCACAGAATCCCAAATGCACAGAGGGCTAGACTCTGAAAAATACTCTGGAGGGAAGTAACAGACTGGGAGCCCCACAGACCTCAAATCTCTCAACCACCAACCCACTGAGGTTTCCATACAGATGCTTCTTTGGAAGTTCTTAAAACTCAGAATTTTAAAATAACTCAAAGAGGCAGTGTGGAGTCGTGGAAAGAGCTTGGGTTGGGTGATAGAAAGATTGGGTCTAAGCTGTGACTCTGCCTCCAGCTAGCAGCTAACAGACCTTGAATGAGTCACTTCCCTCATCAGGCTTCAATTCCTCCAGCTGTACACCAGGGACAATAGCTCCCTCTTCCCATGGAGGCTGTGAGCATCACACACAGTCATGTCGTGGAGGGCTTTGGAAATGGTCCAGCTGTGAGAAATGTGAGGCGTGTTGGAGGATAACCAAAGAAGGGAGGCGCTGGAGTGGTGTTTCCTTCCTGCCTTCCTTCCCCTCTTCCTTCTTTCCCCACATCACAGGAGGGAACCGTCAATGAGCCAGTTACTCAGGCAGAGCTACTGCCCCCGCACACATGGGCATGCACCTTTCCAGACACAATGTCCCAAATCAAAACCCGCTTGATCTGCTGCACGCCTTGAAGCAGACACTCTTGGTCGTCTCCCCAACAGCAATTACCTCCTTCTTCCTGGCTGACAGAACCCAGTCTTGTCCAGAAACTGAGCAGCAGAGCGATGAGGGAAGGGGGCCTACTGCACAGTCCCAGAGAGAATGCTGAATCTGGTAACCCATCGTGGTCCTTTCATTCTTTCTGCCAGCCATTGGTGTAAGTGTGGGCACGTGATGCAGTGCTGGCCATGGGGAAATAAAGGGACTGGCTAAGAGACTTCTGGGGAAGGATTTCCTCCATGGCAAAAAGAGTGAGAGAAGGCAAACCTTCCCCTGCAGCCTTGGGACATGTTGGTATGAGGCCTTGAGGCCTGAGGCTTAAGCGATGACCTACCAGCCATGTGGGAACGAGCCCAAAGACAAAAATCAACGCATTGCGGGTGGCAGAGGAGAAAGAGGGAAAGTGCCCGACCTTTGACATTGATACTGTGCCTGAATTAACCCACCCAGGACCCTTCTACCTACACACACTATCATGTGAACCAACAAACCTCTGCTGTGTAAGTCTCCTCAAGTTGGGTGTTTGGTTGCTTGCGACTGAGACCACCCTAATACACAGTCCCTCCCAGATACCAACACACACAGCCTATAACTTGTCTCCGTCTTACTTGGGTCCCTGGGTTTTACCTTAACCCCATAGTTCAGTTCATGAACGATTGCTCACAAAAACACCCAGGGCTCTGTAATGCCTGTGGGATCAAATTCAAATCTGAAAATACTAAAGTACCTTCCCTCACCTGGCCCCTCTGCAGCTCACCATCCTGCTTTGTTTTATTTAGAACATGATCACGAATGGAAATTATACTGGGCATTTATTTATTATCTGTTGATTGTCTGTCTGTTCTCAAGGTAAGCTTCATGAGAAGAGGGAGCTTGTCTATTTGGATCACAACTGTCTTTCCAGCACCACAGTCACAGTCTGGCACATTGTAGTGGGTGCTTAAAAATACTTGATGGATGCATAAATGAGCAGACAGCTCCAGCCTACCTTTCCAGCATGTTCTTCCTGAATACCTCTTCAGAAAATGAAATCCCTCTCCCATCAATGAAACGTTCACAGTGCACCACACAGGGTGACTCTACGTGCTTGTGTGTTTTAGAGGATTAAATGAAGGAATTGTGTGTGATGGCTCGCCTTCCTCTCTCCTTCCTCCATGTAAAGCTTTCTTTGAACCAAACAGTCACAACATCTCCTACTCCTCTGAACTCCCACAAGACACCATCACTGACCGCCGACCACTTTCTACCTTTTCTCGCTGGCATGTCGGCAGCCGTCTTCCCTCCTCCTACTCCCACCCCAGAATGTGAGTCCCTCGGGGCAGCGTCTGTGTCTCATCCATCTACATCTCCCTAGTGGTTGGCACATAGTAGATGCTCAAGAAACATTTTTGGAATGAACATACGTGTGAATGCCAGGTCTGTGGGTAACCATGGGGAGGATGATTTGGAAGGAGGGCAACTGTCCAGGTCCACACCACAAGGGCTGTTTTTCTTAACTTGCCAGGGGGCGGGGCTTACCCCAGAAAGGCAAAATAAAAGGAAATCAAATGAGGTGCTAAAAATGACAGGCGTAACTGTGGCAACTTCTCTCTCTGAGACTTGGCTCATCTGTACCATGAGAGGGTTGGACCAGATGGTCTCTGGGGATTCTGGTAAAGGGGGCAGAGTGTGAGGTTTAGAGCTGGACTCAACCTGGGTTTGAACACTGCTTCTTCTACTGGCTAGCTGTGTGGCCTTAGAGCTGCCACTCCACCTCTTTGGGTGCATCTCCTCGGCTATAAAATGGTGTGAATGACACCAGTTGATGGGGTTGTGGGGTGGAGTAAACATGTGCACAACTCCTGGCTCCGTGGCCTCTCCTCCCCTCCTTTACTCCCTCTGCTGCTCCGGCCCCTGAAGTCCCTGTCCCCACTCTTTTTTTTTAAAGATTTTTTTATTTATTCATTTTTTCCCCCCAAAGCCCCAGTAGATAGTTGTATGTCATAGGTTCACATCCTTCTAGTTGCTGCACGTGGGACTCGGCCTCGCGTTGGACGGAGAAGTGGCGCCTTGGGGCTTGCCCGGGATCCGAACCCGGGCCGCCAGCATCAGAGCGCGCGCACTTAACCGCCAAGCCACGGAGCCGGCCCCCCTGTCCCCACTCTTGACCAGCCACCGCAAGTATCCGTCACAGCTTCTCTGCCCCAAGTGGAAGGAAGTTGCACAGCAGGCATTTCACTGTGCATCCAACAAACCGGGCCATTTCCCAGCCCCCTTGCGTCCAGGAAGGGTCATATGACTCATTCTGGCCACAGAATGTGAGCAGAAGTTACGTTAACCACTTCCACTTCTCACTCATCAAAGTTCCCTCCTCTGCTCTCTCTTCTTCCCTGGAAAACTTGGAGCCCATGCTTGGAGGATGGAAGGAGCCTGGGTCCCTGAATGGAAGTCCAGCTACGTTAAACTGGGACTTGGGTGAGCAATGATGCTCCCAAGATTTTCAGGTTTTCTTGTTACTGCAGCAGAGCACAGATCCCCCAGCTAGATCAGACAGCCTGACACTTCCAAGGGGCACAGCTCCCGCCCCTCATCTCAGGGTGAGGTCCTCACTCCTGCTCACCCTCCTCAGGGAGTGGGGATCACTCCCACCATCTGTGAGAAGGTCTGGATTCTAATGTCCCAATTCACGTTCACGGTCTCTCCCAGGGTATCTGTCACTCTCACACAAATTGGCTGCTTGTGGCCAGCATGGCATCCTGGAGCTCCCCAATGGAGCACTCAGATCAGACCGTGCCATGACTTCCACTGCACCCCCTTGGTCTGGGCCTCGGTTTCCCCACACACACCAGAAGGGCTCAGAAGGCTTCTCCCACTCTGATATTCACAAGCCCAGGAAAGCATATCTGAGAGGGGCCGCCTGCAGCCGACACCCAGCAGATTGCACCCTGGCCCAGCCTCCAGCCTATATGTGACCCATAAACTCTTCCTGCTGAGTAAACACATTTTATTGGGCCTGGGGACGCTTCCTGGCCATCCTGCTCCCACCTTCCCTTGTCCTGCTTTGGCCTGGCCAGTTCCCCAGCACAGCCCCTCCCCAGGGTCCCCAATACCCGTCCTTCAGCTCCCCTCTGCCCCCAGCACCTTCCCCCGATACCTGTAGCCTCGGTCTTAAGGAGGTGGAGAGTTTCTTTTCTTATCAGCCGTTTACTGCCCCCTCCTCCCTGGTTACACAGTAATTGGGAGCAGAACTCCCGGCAAGGACGGGTCAATACCTGTCAGCGCCCAGCCGACGGTTTACAGGGTCAAGAGAGAGAAAGGGTCCCTTCAGTGCTGTCTCGGGAGGCAGGTAAGGGGCGTCAAGCAGGAGAGAAGCAGAAAGGACCCCAAAAGGAAGGAGGAGGCACCCCGGACCAGGAACCTGTGGAGAGACTTGTGAAGTAAGGGTGGAGAGAGGAGAAGGGAAGAAAGTCGGTGCCAGACCAGAGACACCTGAGGAGGTTCAGAGAGCAGCGCTCAGCCCAGCCCCGTCACAGAGAGACAGCCCAGCAGTGACCCACTGGCCCCCTTCTGAGCCTCCACCTGCAGGACAGCAGAAGCACAGGCGCTCTGGAAGGCCTATTCTGGAGTCTGGAAGCAGCCGAACTGAAAGGAGTCCACGAGGGTTTCTGGGAACACCCCTCAAGCTGCGGTTTGGCCCAGAATTGAGTTGGCAACCTGGGGACCAAGGGTGGCATTCCAGCCTTCCAGAGGCCTGGCCAGAGCCAGCAGAAAAGGGCCACATGCCAGAGAAAGGGCAAAGGTGGACAGACTGTTCCAGATCTCCTCTGGGGGCAGGCTCCCTCCTCCTTCTAGTTCTTTGCCTTGTTCCCCACTGACAGTGACTCCAGTGGCCTAGGCTGGGGACTGTGAAGGTGACCACCCAGGAGAAGACCCATCACAGTAAGACTGAACCCAATTCGGGAAAGGCGACTCCACTGACATTGAGCCGGCGAGGGCTCTGAGCCCGTGGGCACGGGGTACAGCCCATTCCAGCTCTTCCGACGGGACCTGCGTTCCTGACCCCAGAAGTCTTTTGAGGTGGCCCATGGGAGTCCCCGTGGAGACCGAATCGTGCTTGGATAATCCGACATGAGGCTCCTCATTCTCCACATCTGCTTGCCCTCTTGATTCCAGGAGTTTCAGGGGAGGAAGTACGCCACCCTCCATCAACATCGCCCTGGGCACACACAAAGCCCCCTCTGCCTCTCCTCACAGCCCCCCACAGAGTGTGCCAAGGCCCTGCTCTCGGCGGGGGTATGGAGAGGAAGAACTCGGGGTGCTGTGAGGCCCCAAAGAAGCTAGGCCTGTCCTTCTCCATCGAGGAGATCTTAAAGAGGCCCACCAAAAGGAGCGATGTGGTCAGGGCAGAAGGGGCAGGTGGAGGGGGTGCCAGGCAAGCAGCAGCCACAGCCTCCAGGCTGGAGAGACCCCGGCAGGACCAGCCCCAGGGTAAGTGTCTTCCGGTCATTTCTTATCCACTCCCGGGTCTCCAAGGCCCAGCTGGGCTCAGGCAGAGAGAAACCTCCATAACAGAGCTTTCAAAGGACTCCAGAATTCAAAGAGATGTCAGGCACTGGGCTGGTTGCCCTAAATACCTTTCTGTCTGGCCCAGATGGAGGTTGTTCAGATGTGGACACCAAGGCTCAGGTAGCTGTAGAATGCAGGAACCCTGGGCCTGTTCCTGTAACCAGGCCACCGCTGAGAATGCTAGTTACCATCTGTTTATTCAGCATTTACAGTATGGTAGGCATCGTCCTGAAGGCTATACGTGTCTCTTCTTTACCCTCAGTGGAAAGGCATGATTATCATAACTTAACAGATGAGGAAACTCATCCGTGACAGAGAAGAGGTGGATTATGCCCCCCAAGTTACACAGCTAGTAAGCAGAAGAGCTGAGCCAGGACCCGGCTCTGGCTGCCTCCAAACCCCTGCTCAGTCCGGCCTGCTCTCCTCCTTCGTAAGCAGAGTACAGCCTGCACAGCTTCTAGTGGCTGAAGCTTTGCTCGCAATCTGCCCACTCTGATCCTGGGTGCCACCCACCCAGGCCAGTGGCCCACCCCAGGGCATGTCCCCAAATAACAATGACCACATAGATCTCAGGCCCCTCCTTGAGAGCTGGCTTGAGGAAGGGCATCAAGATGGACACATGCACACTGCTACAAGTCAGGAATCCGCCATGTCAGTGTCAGTTGTACCCTGGCCTGCTGTGTGACCTCAGGAAAGTCCCTTTCCCCTCTGGCCTCAGTCTCATCCTTGGGGAACCACTTGGGGATAAGGAACAGGAAAGGGAGCTGGTGATGTCTCAAGGGTCCACTGGAGTCTGATAGTCGATGAGCCTGGAGATTCTCACATGAGGTTCTCAGTTCTCTCCTCCTTTCTGCCCCTCTAATCCAAAGAATGGCTGGGAAGGAAGCTCAGGGGAGCCCATGATGTCTTCCCCTACCACACACAGATCGCCACTCCCTCCCCCGAGTCTAGTCTCCCAAGAGGGAGCTGATGGGGGCTGTGCTGAACTGCAGGCAAGGGGAAGACCCCTGGAGGCTATGGAACCCTGTCCCCAGGGAACTAGTGGATTTCCCAGTAGCTGAGCCTATCAGAAGGACAGGGTCCCCAGCTTAATTTTCAGAAGTTCATTGATAACTTCCAGGAAATTGAATGACCATTCACAGAAACAATTCTTCTGGGGATCTAACCCGAGTCTCTCTTGCTGCAGCTACATAAAATCCGTGACTGTCTTCTCTGTCCCAGAAAGAGAGAGAGAGAGAGCAAGAGAAGAGAGGTCCGATCTCCCCTAGGCATCCCTTCCCCTAGCCTGACAATAGCTGATGGCAACAAGGAGCCCACTCATTCTAAATCTCCCCTGAAGATGCTGGCATGTTCCATGTCAGCTATCCTGCTGGACTAGAGCAGACCCCCAGTAACTGCTTGCCAAAATAGCAGTCATGACATTGGACAGTGCCCTTTGGCTCTCACAGCTCTCTCGTGGCTATTCTCCCATTGAACTGTCACAATTGTGAGCCCCTCCTCACAGATGATTAAATCAGGAAGGGAAGATAAGGCACTTGCAAAAACTACATGAGTAGTTAGCACTAGAATTGAACCCTGGTGGCCTGAGACCATCCACTCTAGATTATTCCTGAACGTGGCTTAAATCCATACATTTCCCACTCTGCTGGAATGCATCATTTCCAAAAGACCAGTGAGGGTCCCAGTGGTAGTTTTCAAGATGAGTTTAAGGGGTACACAGACAAAGATTGCTTATGTCAAGGGTTCTGTAATTATTTCTACACTAACCAATTTATGACGCATGATACGGATATGGTTATCCATTTATGGTTATAATATGAGGTTTTCTTTGAAAATAAATTTATTTATTTAAGCAAAACAAAAAAGTCTATTTGGGAAAATGCTAAGCAAATAATAGTACAGAAGGGATGCCGACATGTCAGACACTACAAAGGTAACTTGCAGAATCTGCAAATGAGCTGGAGTCTGCAAGACGCTGGGCGAGGAAGGCTGAGAGCTGGGACCCCAGAAAACTGGCCTCTAAGCCCCGGTCTGGCACCAGTTCTCAGGAGGACGTCAGGCCAGCCGTTCCGCTCTCTGGGCCTCTGTTTCCGCATCTGGAACGTGAAAGAGCGGAGCTAGAACATTCCTGAGGCCCCTCCCAGCTCTGAGACGCCATGACTGATTCCACCACAAACTGGCTGCTGAAAAGCCTTGGTGGTTTCACTCATGGTCGTTTTCCACAGCAGAGGCTTCCTCCCTGTAGAGGGGGGGTCTCCAGGCTAGGAGGGCAGGGGCAGGATGCCTGGGAGGGGCAGGCAAGAGGGCAGACCCTCTCACAGGCCTCTGCCTCTCCCTGCCCTCCCAGGAGCCGCCACCCCCAGCGCTTGCTGCTGCCGCTAAGCGCCTCCACCTCTCTGTCCTGTTTTCCGCCCAGCACCCAGGCCCCCTCGGAATGGGCAACAGGACCAGAAACGGTGCATCCAGGGCCCTCCCCTGCCCTAGTAATAACAACAGAGGAATAAATTCCTTTGTCTCCACTGAACACTTAAAGGGCTTCATGGAGTAGCTCACGGAGCCACTGGCAAGCATTACCCCTGGATCCCAGTGACCTACAGAACCTGTGAAATGCAGCATTCCAGACCCGGCACCCAAGACTCTGACTCTAGGTCTACGGTGGGGTCAGGAATCTGCACTCTGGCAAGCCCTCCTAACTGATTCTAATGTAGGTGGTCCAAGGACCACTCTTTGAGGAGGCTGAGGTCCAGGGAGGCAGGGTGGCTTGTTCCAAGCTGCAGGGCCCATATGTGCAAGAACCAGGGTCAGACCAGTTCTCCCAGCCCAAGGCCAGTGCTCGGCCTCCCTCGTTTCTCATGGCGGGGACCAAGGTCCCCCCTCCCCACACCTTCCCCCTCTCACAGGGACCCTCATAATATAAGGCTTGGACCCTCCCAGGTGTCAAGCCAATGGAAAAATCCAAGAGGGCCTCCCAATTTGAAAGGATGCTGAGCCCAGCTGCCCGCTCACTTCTCCTGAGAGAGTAAGCCCCCTGAAGCTCGGCACCCTCCAAAGTCCAGGGGAACCCGGTTAGGAAGAAGCTGCTTTGTACTGGAGGCTCAGACCCTGGGAAGAGTCATCTCTGCACCTGTCCCACTAATGACCCTCTGCAGGGAAATTGTGACACCCAGGGCGGGGAGAGGAGAGGAAGATGGGCAAGGAAGAGACTACCCCCGTGGGTAAACCGGTAGGGGTGTTCTGGCCTGTGGGGACCCGAGATATATTCCCTCACCTGTTCACGAGCCATTTGGTCACTCAGTGAATAACTGCTGAGTGCTTACTCTGGGCCCAGCGGGGGCTAGGGAGGTGAAGGCGAAGAGAACCAGACATAGTGACCACCCACCTGGCATGGAGTGCGGTCAGCAGCAATGAGAGTCCTGGTGACACCACCTTGGGGCAATGCTGACTTCTACACATCTTGTCTGGTGGAGGGGGCCAGAGGCATGGTGGAATTCTTGGGATTTGAGAAATAACCTGTAGCAGTGGTCAACAAAGTTTTTCTGCCAAGGGCCACATAGCAATTTTAAGCTTTGGTGGCCAGATGGTCTCTGTTGCAATTACTCAACTCTGCCATCACAGCTGAAAAGTAAACAGTATGTAAACGAATGGATATGTTTATGTTCCAATAAAACTTTATTTACAAAAGCAGGCAGAGGGCTAGATTGGGCCTTGGGCTGTAGTTTATCAGCCCCTAACCCGTTGGTGTGACGCTCCAAGTCCTGCTCAGACTGGCCTGGCTTGTCCCCAGGTTGTCTCCCTTCACACCCTCCCCACCCCTCCAGGGACATGGAGCTGCTCTCTGACTTCCGATCTTTCTTGCCTCCAAACCTTTGCCCTTTAGAAGCCATTGCACCTGCTCCCACTTCTTTCTCCTTTTCCTCTTCTTCCCCTCTTCCTCTCCCTCTGTATTAGCTTCCTGTGCCTGTTGTAACAAACAACCACGAACTGAGTGAATTAAAACAAGAGAAATTTATTCTCACAGTTCTGGAGGCCAGAAGTCCGAAACCAAGGTGTTGGCAGGGTAGGTTCCTTCTGGAGGCCCTGAGACGAAATCTGTTCCCTGCCTCTCTCCCAGCTTCTGGTGGCTGCCAGCGATCGTTGGCCATCGTTTTTGGCTTGTAGATGCATCATTCCAATCTCTGCCTCTATCGTCACCTGGCCTTCTCCTCAGGGTCTGTGTTCTAATCTTCCTCTCCTTCCTCTCACAAGGACACTAGTCATTGGATGTAGGGCCCGCCGTGAATCCAGGAGGATCTCATCTCGAGATCCTTAATTATATCTATAAATGTACTGTTTCCCAATAAGGTCGCATACACAGGTACCAGGGGCATGGACTTGGACATGTCTTTTGGGGGGGACATAGTTGACCCCACTACATCTTCCCTCACTTCCTTGTCCTCCTCATTTCCATCTTTCTCCTCCCTCTTCCATGTCTCCCTCCTCTTTCTCCTCTCCTCCTCATCCTCCTCATCACCCTTCTTCCCCTCACCCTCCACCTCCTCCCTTGCACTGCCTGGAACCAAAGGCGGCAGCTCAGCGATGCTCTGGGCTCTGGGAGAGGGAGCCCCGGCACGGGGCTGGGCCGAGGTCTGTGGTCTGTCCCGTCGCCTCGTGATTAACGGCTCTGGGTCTCAGACAGGTAGACACAGAGGCTCCCACGAGAGCAGACAGGAGCAGGGCAGAAGGACATGGAGCTAAAAACTTGCACTCCCAGGATAAGATCTCCTCTCTCAGTCCTTGCCACCAGAGCCACAACCTACTGTGGCCTTGGGGACATGCCTACAGGGCTCAGGGTCACCTAGAGGCTGGTTCTAGAATTGAGAACCTGGCTCAGTCTTAGGCCCTATGGGGATACAAAGAAGTACAAGGCCCCTGCTTGCAAAAAA